CCGTGGGCCCCCCCCGGGGGAGACGGGGGCAGCTGCTCCTCTGCGCCAGAACCAGGGTTGGATCCGCCCGTCTGCCACGTCGCCCCATGTCCGGGCTCTCCGCGCGGCCGTTGCTAGCCCCAGTGCAGACATGGGAGCTGGTGAGGCTGAGGGGGGTGGCTGAGCTGTGGGGCCCCCGAGCTGGGCTAGCAGGGGTCTGGGGCATCAGCCAGGCGATGGAAGGGGGGATTCGCCCACTGCCCAGCTCTAGCTAGTGCTGCCGGTTGCTTCCCTTTGCCACGTCTGTCGGTGCCTCCCAGAAATCCGTGGCCAGGAGGTTGCTTAGAGTCACTGACCCCTGCGGGGAGGGGCACTTCTCCGTGGTGCTCGCAGTATCCCCTCAAGCCAGCTGTTCCCAGCCCCGCCCCTTCCGCAGGGCCCCGGGAGACAGAACCAGACCCGGGCTCCCATTGGGAGAGGGCTGCAGCGCCCCCTCTGGCTGAGCAAAGAGGTGCCTGTGTCCAAACCAAAGCCAGCCTCCCGCCAGCCCTCTGGGGAGAATTCCCTGCCAGGGCCCAGCCTGCTCATGTTCTCTCCCCTGCCTAGTGGAGAACCTGCGGCACCTGATCCTGCACAGCCTGGTGCCCTGCCGGGATCCTGAGGACGACCTGACGCCCACGCCCTCGGTGGCGGGAGGAGTCGTGCAGAGCTGGGACTCAGCACTGCCCAGCCAGGAGCAGCCGATGGTGCGGGGTGAACCCATCGCGACCCGGGCTGATCTCACGGGCCAGACGCCCAGCGACGGGACGGAGCCGGAGCCAGCAGGTCGGCCAAGCACGGGGGACGCAGCTGAGACGGGCTGGAGTTCGGATGGCAGTCAGGAGGGGCCCCAGGAAGCGGAGCAGCCCCTGGCTGCGGAGGGGCAGGGCGGCTACAAAGTGGTCCGGAAAGGTAGGGGGAAGGCAGGGCTGGCGTGGGGGGGAGGGGATGTGGTTCCTCTCCAGGCTGCAAGAGCTGTTCCCTGCTGTTCCCCCGGGACCCTCCTCTGCAGGGTTTGGCTACCAGGACAGCAGGCACTTTGCATGGCCATCCACTGGGATAGCGCATGGGACCCAGCAGGCTCCTGTCCCCGGCCAAGGGCGGCCCTTCACTTCCCCTTGGTCCAGCGGGGGGTGGCTGTGTTAGGCGAAGGGCTGGGAAGTCAGAGAGCCCCAGGGGAACACACCAGCTACCGACCACTTAGACCAGTGTTTCTTAAACTTTTTAAGACAAGGAGCATCAGACAATATATTTTTTTAATGAGGAACACCGAGGATTTTTTTTGTTGAGGGGAAAAAAAAAATGGGGGGAGGGAGGAGAGTTATTGAGCAAAGAAAAAAAAAAGTCTCCTGCCTCTTTAAGGGCAGCCATTTTGAACTCTGTTCTCCGCAGCACACGGAACAGTTTAAGAAACACTGACTTACTCTAACAGCCGTGGGCCATCGATTAAAACATTAACCCTTGGGGCCTGCCGCTGGGATCACAGGCCCCGTCATGCCCGTGGCTGGCTGGGGCGCAGCCTCTCGTTCTCTCGCTGACTCCCGGCCAGCCTCGCGCGCCCGGTGACTTGCATGAGCTCTGCCCCCCTTGGGCTGCTGCAAACCCTCTGCTCTCTCTGCCTGGGCATCTGGCACAGCTGGTGATTGGGTTCTGAGTCCTTCAATCAATCATTTCTCTCCCTCCCTTTTCCCCCTCCACCTTTCCTCTTCCTCCCTCCCTGCTCTTCTCTCCGGCCTCTCGGCACAGCTGAGGTGGAGGGCGCTAAGGATGCCACGCCTTTGGCAGACAGCAGCCAATCAGAAACTGAGTTGCATGAAGGAGGCGGAGCTAATGTAGATGGTAAAGACAAAACCAACCCCTTTTTCCTCTGGGGCCCTAGGAAAGGGAAAGGCAGGTGGACTGAGAGGCTGCGGGGCGGCCGGGAGGCAGGATTCCTGGGTTCTCCCCAGCCCTTGGAGGAAGCCCGGGATTCGAGCCGGGAGAGTCAGACCCGGAGAGCCCCGCGTGGCATCGGTAGCTGCGAATATCCGCATCGACCCCCGCGGATTTGCAGGGCTCTACAGACCTGCTGTGCAAATGGGCAGGTCCTTCCGGTCTGCTCCTGCCATCGTTGTTTGCTTGCGAGGGGACTGCAGGTCATGGGGGCCAGGCACAGGTGTGCACCCCCTCTCCACCGCATGTAAATGGCCTTTTTGCTGCCCTGCCCCCAGCTCTCCTGGCCCAGAGGAGTCCCTGCTCCAAGTAATAGACTTCGACTGACTTGGTACGGCATGAGAGTGTTCCCTGTAATCTGAGCCCTTGGGCGGCCACCCAGGAGAGATTCAAATGCTGCCCGGCTGATTGGCAGAGCGCTCACAGCCGCCAGCAGGTGTTTCTCCTGGTGGTGCACATCCGCACAGGCCTTGGTGCACGTAAGAAAATTTATTCTGCCCCTGGATGGAAAAAAATTAGAGGGAACACTGCCATGCGATGTTTGGAGTTAAAAAGCTAGCACGATACTCTGTGAGCGTGGGTTCAGCGTGGGCTGCCGGGGCTCAGACTGGAGCCGGGGAATTGTCACAGAGCAGCTCTGTTTCAGTGGGGTCCCGCAGGGCGCGGTTCTTGGCTGTGGAATCACTGACAGGGCTCTGTTGAGCTGATCCAAGAGACGGTTAAGCGGAGACTTGTTCTTCACGGCTAGAGCAATCGGCCGAGGGCCGGGGCGGATTCTCTGCCACTGACCATTTTTGAATCGGGATTGGAGACTCTTCTAAAAGCTCCGTTGAACTTCATTTTGGGGCCGGGCTCTGGCCTGGGCGAGGCAGGTGTCACAAGCTGGTCAGGGCCTCTGCGACTGACTGGATGTGGCTGCAGGGGAGGGAGCTGCATTCTGGCTGAATTTTCAAACCCGGCTGCGGAAAGTGAAGCACAGGGCAGGAGGGGTGTCACATCAGGGTGCTTGTCAAAGGCTCAGAGCTTCGGTCCCCCGCCTTTTGAGGCTGCATAATTAATCACCTGAATGAATAACGGGAGCCTCCTTCGCTCTCCAGTCGCTTCCCCAAGGAGGCCGCTTGCATCATCCCCATGTGGCAGGTGGGGAAACTGAGGCAGGTGGCCATACAGTGACTCACCTTGGGGTCGCCCAGCAGGCCCACGACAGAGCTGGGGTTAGAACTGCTGAGTTCCTGTCCGGCGCGCTCTCCACTAGGAGATGCTGCCTCCCAGTTGAGGCCCCGTCTGTTGAAATGGGGATGGGGGGGCTGTTGAAAAGCTTGCCCCAGGAACTGGAACCGGAAGGGCTAACAGGTGGACTCAGTGTCCGCTCCGCAGCCCCGTGATGGCAGTGAGCTTTGACCCAGGCTCTGTAGGTTTCTTCTGCAGCACAGGACTCGTGGGCTAAATGGCTTTTCTCCCCCCTCCCCGTCCCAGGGAATTACTTCTACATCAGCATGCCTGCCAGCCCCGCAGAGTCCTCCACGGAGCCCCCTGCCCGCGCGCTTCCAGCGAGCCCCACGGCGCACCCCCACAGCCCGCCCTAG